ATTTAGTTTGTATACATCTTGTTTGTGTAGTTTTTTGCAGGTTGTCTCACCATTAGATTGGAAGCTCCTTGAGGGTTAAGTACTGGTCTTTGCCTTTCTTTATCTCCTACACTCAGCACTGTGCCTAAGGGAGAGTAGATACTTGCTAACTTACAACTTATTTTTAAAGCTTTCTTAAAAAAAAAAATCCTCAGATTCAGGCAGGCCACTAAATGTCCATCACTAGATCTCCCCATGACTTCGAATAAATCATTTCCTTCATCTGGACCATGGTTTCCCAATCTATAAAATGAAGAAAGTGGACTAGATGATCTTCAAGGTCTTTCCCAACTCTGATGCTAACAAAGAAAGACAAAGATTTAGAAAACAAGCTCCCACCACTCTTAAAGCTAACCCACCTCATCTTTCTGTGGTAGGAAAAAGAATAACTGTACTTGGAGTCAGAAGAAATGGATTCAAGTCTCATCTCCAACTCTTACAAGTTGTACAGTGATGGACAAGTTTTCTGACCTGCAACTTCGGTTTTCTCATCTGCAACATGGGGACAAAATCACTTATATGAGAGGAAGATAGTTCTACCCTGAAGGACTGTTCTAAGGCAAGCTCCTGAAGAGTGTTTTGAAATAACAGCTATTTGTTGTTGTTACTACTATTACATGACCTACAACTTGGCACCAATTGCAAATTCAGGAGGCCCTCAGGGGATCTCTCCTGCAGAGACTCTTCGAGCAGCTACTGAGTGCCAAGCACTGTTGACAGAAGGCGAGGAACCCAGAGCAGACATGGGGCAAGGCGGAGGAGGCTAAAGAAGCTAGATGGTTACTCTGTGCTGCTTTAGAGTTTGGGGTGCTGGGAATATCTCACAGAGTCACAGAATGGCAATGGTGGAATTGAAGAGCTCTGGGAGAAAAGCAATCTGAGTGACAGAGGGGAACACACATTATTTCCTGAGTCCCATATCTCTTCCCTCTCTAACACTTCCCCCTCCCAAGAGGAAACATCAGGCTACACTGAGAAATCTCTCATTGCAAAGAGGTAACATCAACAAGGCACAGGGAATTCTCCATCTAAATATTCTAGGGTCAGCATAGTCCTAGAGACAAAGAAATGGAAGTGGTGGAAGCCTCCCAAAACCTGGATCTGGTCACTGTCCTCATCCTTCTATAACCTGGGGAGGAACCGAGGTTGGGTCTTAATGGGTATAGTTATTATCCCAGGCCCTGAAGGAACACACTCTCATTTCCCTAGCAAGAATGACAGACAACTTCCCCAATTCCCCAGGATTTGGCCAAAAGGCTATTCATCACCCTTAGCCCAGCACCCGAAAGTATTCAGAAAAAATGTAGACGCTAACAATTGGCTGGCACTGCCACAGCAACCATGCAAGCAACCTGCTTTCTAGACCCTGCATCCCTTTGCCTCTGAGGTGTTAAGTTCTTTTTTTTGGTTTGTTTTTGGCTAGGCAATTGGGTTAAGTGACTTGCCCAGTGTCATATAACTAGTAAATGTTATGTGTCTGAGGCCGGATTTGAACTCAGGTCCATCCTGAATCCAGGGCTGGTGCTCTATCCACTATACTACCTAGCTGCCCCCTAAGTTCCTTTTCAAGATCCCAATACTCTTTCCCTTTCACTCCAACAGGTGAAGGCTCTTCCCTGGTACATCTTACTTCCGCTTGGCAACCAGGTACCATAATTTCATAGTCACTCACATCCATCCCAAATCTCTGGTATCAATCCCAAATTTGGTATCAACTAGATAGGACCAATTTTCTCACAAGAAGCAACCTGTAGTAATTAGAAAGGACATTGGATTTGTAATATTTGGTTTTTAATCCACATTAAAATACTATATTACCCATATGACCTTGGGCAAATCACTTCTCTGGGTCTATCATGTCATCTCTCAAGTCAGAGAATTGGATTTCGCAGTCCCTTCCACTCTAAGCTCTCTGTTCCTAAGATTACTATGTCAATAGAATCTGGCTTCCACAAGTGTTTCTTCCTTTCCCCACCTTCTGTTTTAGACCTAGAAGAATCTTCTGCCTACTAGCACTCTGAGCTAGGTCAATGGTGACAAACCCACTCCAATTAAGCTGTCTTTGGGGAAGAAATGTAAGCTAAAAGTCCTAGGTTCTTCTTGAAAAGGCACCACGAAAGCAGAATTTTCTAATGTGTTCTTCCCCCACCCCACCCCCTCCTTTTGGCCAGAACAACTGCTATTAAATAAATAGTAAACTAAAAAATAAGAAAGCAAGAAAAGCCACCAGGAAACTAAAGAGTTATTCCCCTGCCCAGGGCCACAGTTTCCCATCATCATCATCAAAATAATACCTAATATGTATATAGTACTCTAAGGTTTAATAAAGCCCATTACATATACTAATTCATCTGATCCTTAGAAGATAGGTGTCACTATCCCCTTTATATTGAAGAGGAAACAGGCTGAGCCCAGGGTCACACAGTGTTTAAGCAGAATTCAAACTAGGATTTTCCAGTATGCAAGCCCAATGCTCCATCTATGCCACCACTTATTTGTGTATTGGGGCTGAGGTTCTTCAAGTAGTCTGTATTATAATAGGATTATTATTATTATAAATACATTTGGAGTAAAAGGCATTATATTGGAATTCTGACTCTGATACTATGTATTACCTGTGCCTTTTTTCTCAACCCATAAAAGATGATCTCTAAAAGCCTTTCTAGTTCTAAATTCTATGAGCCTATAATTAATAGGAACAAAGTCTCTTGTCTCCACAGTTAGTGAACATGTACCTATTCTAAACTTGGTGAAACTCAGTAGGTCTAGGCAGAGATGAAGAAGGAGGGTCCAAGAATGGGGGACTATTTGTGCAAAAGTGGCTAGAGATGGTCTAGAGATATCAAAATATGTGACTGAATTTGCTCCCAAGACGCTCAATGATGAAGATATACAGATAGAAAGGGGAAAAAAGAAAAAAAAAGATACAGATAGGTGTTCTGTGCTCCAGTCTTTTCATACACACATTCACTCGTTCATTCATTCACTCACTTACTCATTGAGTGCCTAGTCTGTGTTTACCACTTGGGAATACTCTATTCTCAAGGTGTAGAGGGGCAATATGGTGGCATGGAAGGAATACCAAACTTGGAATGAACATAGGCACTTCATTTTTGAGCCTACATTTCCCCATTTGTTAAGTAGGGCTAAAATTACATGTAGTCTCTCTCAGGACTGTTGTAGCAAAAGTGATTTTTAAATTAAGTGCAAAATGCCCCTCAAAGCCTTCTAGTTTTATTATATATTAGTCCCTTTCACATGTGCTATGGCCTGCTAAACTCGCTTTCTTGTTGGCTCTAAGACATAGCACTCCACTTACCATCTCTATGCCTTTGTATAGATTGTCCCCCATTCTTGGAACGCCCTTCCTCCTCATCTCTCCTTCTTCCCTTGGCTGCTGTCTCACCCATCAAAATTACCTTGATTTTTTTTTTGGAGGGGGTGGGAGGGGAGATATATATACTTACATTTGGAGTCAGGAAGACCTGAGTTTGAATGTGACCAGCCACTTACTAAGTAAACTATGTGACCCTGGGTAAGTCACTTAACCATGTTTGCCTTGGTTTCCTCATCTATAAAATGAGCTGGAGAAGGAAATGGCAAACCAATCCAGTATCTTTGCCAAGAAAATCCCAAGTGGGGTCATGAAGAGTAGGACATGACTGAAAGGACTGAACCACAAAATATTTGCACATGTCTTTTGCCCACCACCAGCTCCTTGTCTTTGTATCTCAGTTAACTAGCACAATGCTAGGTAAATAACAGGTATTTTGTAAATGTTTAATATTATCTGATGAAGGTAAGATTTGTACACAAGTAACTATAATACATGTTAAGTGTTATTTACTATATGTATCATGTACTACAGTATAGGTGAGTTACGCTGAGATACAGTTGTGAAACAACTATACCCTGGGCTCCTCCTCCGGATGAGACCATCCCCCAGGGTAGTTACAAGAATCACGGATCTAGAGCTAGAGTTTTTGAAGACAGCTTCCTGTCATGAGCAGCAACTTGCAAAGGAGATTAGAAGGTGACCCATTACACATAATTTTCGCTAAACCTAGAATTTGTTGACCCTTTTGCTTCTTCTGAAGTGTTACTTTTATAGTCCACTATCCTGAATCTCCCCACCACAGGAATACCGCCTCTGAGGGTGAGGCAACCATCATGGTATGGTGAAACTTAGGTGGAATCTGGAAGAATTCGTTTTACTTCAGTACAAGGAAAATAAAACAGCTAAGCATTAGTAGAAGAGAGGAGTTAGAGAATGGAGGAAGTCGGCATAGGTGATGGTTGGTATTCATAGAATGTATCCAGAGAAGCGAATAAGAAGAGCAAGTATTTCCAGAAAAGGAAGTCTGAGCGAATATAAGATTTGGGGAGCAGGGTTTTGGAAAAAGTTATCTAGAGAACAGCCAATGTGGATATGTCAATATTGATATGGATGGTTTGTGTTGGGAGAATTATCTTCTGAAGGAGGTGGATTATAGAGTAGGTAGTAGACTGTGGAGGGAGAGGGTATTGGTGGAAAATAGGAGGTGGGTAAAGGAAGAACCTATAAAGAATCATGAAGGCGGGGAATGTTCAAAAGGGGAGGAGGTCAGTACTGCAGGGATGGAGGGGCGTGGTACTGCGGGGACTAAGAGGCGGGGTATTGCAGACTGTGGGGTGCAGTATTATAAGGGGCGGGGTACTGCAGGGATGTAGGGGGCGGTATTACAAGGAGGGGGTGGAGTACTGCAGGATAGAGGGATGGAAGAGAGAGGTATTATAGGACTGAGGGGTGTGGTATTGCAGGGACTGAGGGGCGCGGTACTGCAAGGCAGATGGAGGGTCTGGGAGGGTCTCACAGTATTAAAAGGTGGAGGAATCTTCCCGTCGTCCCCTCCTACCCCATATCCTATACCCCTCCTCCCCTCTCCTCCTTTTACTGGATGGTGGGTCTCAACTCTTATTACCAGATAAAAGGGCGTCCACATTAGTAGGAAGATTTCCCGGTATTAAGGAGGGATATACTCCCTTCAGCGATTTTACTGAGATGGTCTCAGTTCCATCACAAGATAGGAGAGTGCCTGAAATTAGAGGTAGAGAGTATCCTGGCATTACTAAATGAAAAAATTGTAATTTTAGGCCAGAATGAATGGCTACAGTAGAAAGTTGGAGAGTTTCATCATCCTTAGCAGATGGAAAGACAAACAGTATTAAGTGAGGAGACAGGTCTTACAGCGTAAAATGAACAAGGGATGTGGGATTAACAAAAAGGGTTCTCATGGCGCTGATAGATCAATATTGGTGGGAAAGAGAGTCTCATGGCGATAAGAAGATGGAGAAGTGCCCGCATTAGTGGGTAGGAGGGGGGTAGCAAATGGAGGGACTAGTGGTATTAATGGTTTGGAAAGTCTCACGACAAAGACACCACCGGCGGCGACAGTGGCGGCGGCGGCGACTACGTGCTACCTCCGTATTAGCGAGGAAAAAGGATCTCATGGGGTTAGCAGATAAAGGGAGGATAGATATTTAACAGAAAAAAGCATCTCATGGTGTTAGCAAATGGAAGGACCCATTTTAGCGGGAAGGAGGGATTAAATGGGGGGGGTCTTTATGGCTTTAACAGAAGGCCATGTGGGGTCTTATGGCGTTAGAGGGAAGGGGAGGGGTCTAATGGCGTGGGAAGGAGGGTCTCATGGCAGTTAGCTGCCTTAGAAGGAGGAGGAACATTTTATTGGCGCATGGCGTTAGAAGAAACGAGGTTCCCGTAGTCCAAGAAAGGGGGTCTCAAAAAGTGTTAGTAGATACAGGGATTCTTGGAATTGGCAGGTTCTCAAGGAGTTACCAGGAAAGGGGGGGGAGGTGTCTCGAGGCGAAAGGATGAAGGATCCTAGATATTGCCGGACTTAAAGGTCTCCAGGAAAAGTGGGGGAGGGGTCTCCTTATGGAAGAACCCTAGGTATTAGCGGCAAGCACTAATTTTAGCTGGGAGGGTTCCACCAAGTTATTTGGGGAAAGGGGTAAATCTCATGGCGTTGGTTAGCCGAAGAGGGTCTCTGTGTTAGAGGAAAAAAAAGGGATGGGGGGGGTCTTTTGGCGTTAGCAGATGGAAAGACTCATCATTTTAACGCCGAAGGGGAGAGGGCCTCATGGCATTAGCAGCTGGAAAGACCCATTTTAGTGGGAAGGGGCTCTTACAGTGTTATTAGCAGGAAGAAGGGTTAGCAGACAGAGGGAAGCCGTATAATCAAGGAAAAAGAACCTCATAGTTTTAGCAGATGGAACTGTTTGTGTGTGGGGGGGTAGTTATGGCGTTTTTTAGTGAGAAGGAGGGTCTCAAGGCTTTAGCATATGGAAGGAACTGTTTTAGCGGGAAGGAGGGTCTCATGCTGTTACCAGATAGCTGGGGGAGGGGCATTATCGAGGAGAGAGATTCAGGGTCTCTCCCCGCCAGCCCCAGACCAGATGGCGGGCAAATAGTAGCAGCGTGAGGGAGGGTCTCGCGGTATTAGGCAACAGAGAGACCTTGATATTACCAAGGAGTAGAAAGGGACAGCATGGTCCGGAGAGTTTGGTAGTACTACAAAACGGAGAGGGGCTATTGGTGTTAGTGGGATGGGGGATTTGGAGGCAAGGGGCAAGGCTAGTAAAATCTTGTGCATTACCAGGGTTCTTATGCTGTATTACTACCGTGGGGTTGGTACTACCCAATTGTGGGGACTAAGGGCGGGGAAGGGGGACATTATAAAAGACACTGGAGGGCAAAGTTGGGGGCAGGACAAAGTAGGGGAGTTAGGGGACTGAGGAGCAGGGCTTCTCACCTGGCTGGATGGCAGTAGCACTGCGTAGGGCCCCACAGAGGATAATTCCGAAGAGCAGAAACCAAAGGGTCGGGTACGCCATTCTTCACCACCTGCGGGGCAGCATCGCACCAGGCTGGCTGAGGAGTGCTGCGACCATCCGCACCTCGTGGGAACGGAAATGGAGGAAGAAAAACGCAGCACACAGAGCAGCTGCTGGAGTCGGCGGGTGCTGGGCCCCGAACTGCGTGAGCTGGGCTAGTGACCGCAGGAGCAGCTGGAGGGGGCGGTGCCCTTGGCCTAGGGTCCGCCCCTGGACCCGCCCCCCTCCGTGTTTGCAGCTCCGCCCACGCCTCTCCTCCCCCCTCCCACTTCCCACCTCTACTTCCAGTGGAGTAGTCACTTGGGCAAATCGAGGCTAGGGCCCCTCAGTGAAAAGGGAAGACTGCCTCCTATATCCCCTGCTGACCCTATACCAGGTGCCCTAGTCCTGGGGTCTCCATTCTTCCCCACACCCTGGGTATTAGAGAAGACATGATCATGAGAGCAGAGTCAGAGCCCTGGAGAGGTGGTTTCTGCTCAGTATTTGCCCTTAACCATATCTCCTCACTGAATCCCGTAAGTGAGGGGCACCCCAACTCCATTGCACACATACACATATATGTAACCTTGCGCAAAGACACCCCATAGGAAGGCTATCAGAGGCAGCCAAAGGAGCGGGCTCTTTTTGCAGCCACTAGGGGGCGAGGATGTCCCATTGCGTTTGTCATCCAACCCAACTCTATTCAACATTTATTAAATGGCTAGTGACTACTATGTACAAGGAAGGCAGTATGTACTAGGGGGTAGGGAATTCCAAAGACAAACCAAGGAGCTTACATTTTACTGGGCAGGGGGGAGGGGAAGGGGAAATACAACATGTAAAAAGTACATGCACAGGGTGTCCCAGAAGTCTTGGTGTCCCAGAAGTCTTACAGTAAGACATACACAAGTCTTAGAGCAGGACTTTAGGGATACTCTATCAATCTTAGACACTGTAGCTGTGTGACCATGGACAAATCACTTAACAAATCAGTTCCCTAATCTACCAAATGGAAATCATAGCACCTACTCACAAGATTGTTGTGAGGATCAAATAAGATAATATGTGTAAAGTGCTTTTTAAACACTATAAAGGACATTTGAAGAAAGATGCTATCTGCTTCCAGAGACAGAACTAATAAATGAAGTACATACAGAATAATTATATACATATATAAAATATATGTGTGTATATATACACAGATATATACATATATAAAATATATGTGTGTGTATATATATATATATACACACAGATATATACATATATACATACACACATATTTGTGTCTGATAGCCATCTCTAGGGAGGGGGTAGAAGAAAAAAAGGGCAAAATACATTTACATGATAATTTTATTGTATATTTGAAAGGAATAACAAGTTGTGCATAATAGATTTAGTTTCATGTAGTCATTTTTTTATTGTATTATATTATGGAAATGCTTGTTTTATTCCATAAATTAAAAATAAAAATTTTTAAAAAGGACCTTAGAAGTCCTCAAGTCTAACTTCCTTCCCCCTCCACCTGTTTTACAAATGGAGAAACTAAGGCCCAGAGACAGTAAGTGATTACCTAAAACCACACCCATAGTAAGTGGCAGAGAGAGGATTTGAACACAGGTCCTCTTATTTTAAACCTGTCATTCCACTCTGCTACTGCAAAATCACCTGTTCCCCTGGCCTGAACACAGTACATTTATGAGGGATAAATGGGACTGAGTTTGGACCAATGATTTTATTGGTATATGAATAACCTCCTAATGTGGCCATTCCCTTTACCCAAGCAGATCTGCACCTCCACAATTTATAGTCTTAGAAAGTTGCCTGTGACACTGAGAGGTCAAGTGCCCAGCCACACAGTGTTACACAGTGTCACACAGCCACAGTCAGAAGTGTTCTCTGTAACAGGCAGCCTCTAAGATAAAAAAGACCAATATGTAAGATACATCTGGTATTACCCTTACAATAAGCTCAAGGTCCCAGTTACAATGCCCTCAAGCTTCCTATCTTAGAACATAACTAACCTTGCTACAAAGCCCTGAGGCTCCCCTCACAAGGCATTCCCTATTACAATTCCTGATGTCCTTGTTACCACACATTTAAATCCCCTTCTAGTAATATTCCCAGTGCTCTTGCTATAACACCCCCCAAAAGCCTCAAGGGTCCCCTCTCATGCTCTCAGTGTCTTTAATACAACACACTGTGTCCCCTTCTTATAATATAGTTTTCCCATTATTACACCCTAGAACCACCCTGTTATAACTCTCCTAATGTCTCCCAGTAAGAGATGCTGGTATAGCTAAACAGGAGGTGTTTCTGGGGATGGGTCTATGTTTATCCCTTCAACTATGAGAAGGCTGTAGCCCCAGTCCTTCACACTGCAGGTCTCCTTGGTTCAGAAACACACTGCGGGGCTGGTCTTGGCCAGCTTTCCTGATTTGAGAATCATGGATATTGGTGGGGGCCCCCTCCTCACTACACCTACCCCATCCCATCTCTGAAGGTCAGCCTGACCAGACAGAAATAGCATCTGAGCTCATTTCCCAGAAATTGGGGGGAGGGGAGAGGGACAGGACAGGAGTGTCTAAGATGAATCATTCCAATTGAGGGAAAGGGGAGCAGGGTCTAGAACCTTGCCTGCTCGATTAGCTAGAGCTCACAGCAAGGAACTAGCATGGCTGTGGACTCTCAGGAAATCTATCATAGTTAAAGAAGCCCTGGGGGGAGGACATCCTTAGCTCTTGTCTCTTGGTCCAGGTACATTTACCCCTAGCCTTGCAAATACTTTAACTGCAAACACCGGGTTCATCCATGCTGAGGAGTAGCAGAGGTCATTTCTATTTTCTAAAATTGGGGAAACAAGGTAGAATTTGGAGCAGAGGCTTTTTTTTAAATGTTATTCATAGTCTCTTACACTTATCCAGAGTTTCCACCTTCTTAAAGATTTCCCCATCACCCAACCCCCAGGGCAGTAGTCTAGACAGGATTTACAATACCTGTTTCAAGGCCTAGGAAACTGGGGGCTCAGTCCCACAGCCTTTGCCAGCAGCACAGAAACCACCCCAAAGGGCAAGCCAGGCTGAAGGTGCTCTGGATCTTGAACATGGCCTAAACTGCATTGCAGGAAACACAGAGGTTTTTGGCTGGGCGTAATCCTGACTGGAGGAGGTGGACAGAAGGCTGTCTGCCCACTGTGCTGCAGAGACTTGGGTGTGTCCATCTCCTCATGGACTCAAAGGGGGAGAAGACAGGGGATAGATAATTCATGTAGTACCACTGAACACTGGCATAAATCCATATTTTTCTTTTAAATTCAACCCCTCCTAAACATTAATAGTTGGAAGTATCTTCCTGAAGGTAATCCTGTCAAAGAATGTCCCCATTCAAAGATAAAGTTGGCCTCCCCCAGGAGCAGGTCTGAAGCTGAGCATCCTATACATCAGATCCAATCTCTATGGGTGTGCTGGCTCCTCTTCCCCCTCCCTTCTGCATATCAACCCTGAGTCACCAGTGACAACAGCTTCTCCTGCCTCCCCCCTCTCCCTCCACTTCTAAGTACCAGCCAAACATCTGCCAGGGTGGAGATTAGAGTACAGAGACTCAGGCCAATGTGCACTGCGGCTTCCTGCAGACTAACTAGAGACTGGGACTCCATGGCGCTCCCTCTCTATCCAGAGAAAGAACACCAGAGGAGATGGTCTGGAGCAGCAGTGTGTGCAGAGTGAGAAAAAGCTTAGATGGAGGGGAAGTTCCTAATGGAGGTAATAAAATACTGGTACAGGTGACCAGAGAAGACCACACACACACACACACACACACACACACACACACACACACCACACCCCACTTCCACAAATACCCATCCTTTCTGTAAGGTCTTAATGCATTTCTTCTGTCTGGAAAAGGTAATAGTGACTCTTAATTAAGGCAGAGGAATGATGGATATTTGAACCCCTTGCCTTTCTACTTTTATAGAGCCTCCATTCCTTCAAAATGTAGCTCAAAATAATCCACCTTCTTGAGGCAGATTTCTCCAAGAAGGCTTCCATAAATAAGGGACACTCTTCGGGTATGCCCCCCCCCTCTCTCAAGGTGATTGTTCTTTCTTCTGTTTGGCATTCTCCTTAAGACTGTAGGCTATAGATCTGCAATGTGCTTGTGGGCCAGGGATCAGCCAGGGACTTGCCCCAGGGAGAAATGAGCTTCAGCACTGGCTAGTTATCCAGGATACATTTTATTACAAACTTTTTTTTTTCTTTTTTAATACAAGTGGTAAACGCCAATGGCTCTCCCAGAGCAGGCATGGAGAGATGCAGACAGCATGTCTCTCTCTTTCTCTATCTCTTTCCTCCACCCACCCTCAAGTTACACAAGCACCACAGTGAGAACCATATGCATACTGGGCATCTCTGAAGTTTGAAATTAGGACAGTGTTCTTCAGGGGTTTTTTTCCCTTCCATTGAGTCCAATCTCTACTTCCCATCCCCAAGGCTCTCCATTAAGTTAAACCTTATCTGCCTCTCCATGATACAGGACTGCTGTTCTCCACGAAGAGATCACCCCATAGAGTAGGGTTACTTGAGTAGCTCAGTCAATATCCTCACCCCTGAATGCCAGGAGCCACAGTAAGGAAAGGGTCTGACTCAAGTAAGACAGAGATGGAGGAGAGGACAGAAGGAGCCTCCAGTCCAAGCCAGAGTATCAGTTGGAGAACTGGGGCTAAAGCCTAGGACCCTGCCACCCCATAACACACATATCAGATGCAGGGCTTCTAATGGACCAAATCTGGGTCCTAGTTGTGTCCTCCCCAAAGCCTTATTGGAAGTCAAGTTGCTTCCGGCCATAACATTGGCAGGCCATATTAATAACGGCTCACAGATAGATGTGTGGACTAAAGTTTGGGGGACATCTCGCTTGCTGGGATCTCCAGCTCTACAGGCCTTAGCCTGGATTTGGTGAGAATCATTGTCATCACCTTGCCAGGCTTTACTTTTCATGCAGTACAACCTGCTCAATGAAGTAACCATTAATGAGAACAGATTTCCCCAAGCTGAGGAAGGGAAATCCCATTACCTGTTATTCCTCGGTTCTAGTATCTTCCTTCCCTACAATCCATTCATAAAACACCTGCCCCCCTTCCCCAAATTCCAGAAGAGGCAGTGAATTTTCCTGTCTGATAAGGCCTGCACTGGG